ATACGCTAATGACAGAAATTTATGAGAATATCTGAAACCGAATTTTGCCAGGTTTTGCCAGTTTCACCATGTTTCGCCAGTTTTGCCAGGGAGTTTTGTCTTTTATCTTTCGTCTGGTTTAGGTTTCATCTTTTGCCATTTTCTAAAATAGTTTCGTCTAACAACTATAGGTTAGTCAGTTGGAGGTTTTTACTAACTTCAGTGTCTTGTACATACATAATAAATACTTGGTTTCTTCTCTTTAATGTTTATGACCCTGAGTTAAATTGGTAGCGATATAAAAAAAGTCTCTCCCTGGTCATAACATTGCCTTGCAAAATTCGGTTTCAGATATTCTCATAAATTTCTGTCATTAGCGTATTATAAAACCATATTATAATAACAGCAGAGACAGTGCCTGATTCAAAGTGAATCTCTTTCTCCTGTGATCAATCACAAATTAAATTATTTATATTGGATTCAATTGTGATTAGAGCTATTAATCAGTTTGTCTAGTCTGTTCTGGTCCAAGACTGGCAGTCTTTTAAAAAGTTAGACTAGATTCGGTTCAGGACCAATTAGGACTGATCAGTATAAGGACTGAACAGACTGATTATTCAAATAATTAAATATCGCATAACATATTAATTTATTAACCGTTATTATTATAGACTCTATTCAAATAATTAGTTTATTACTGCTTTGCTCTTTAAAGCCCAAAATGCAATATTAATAATATAATATTTTAATAATTATAATATTTATTTATAAATTTAATTGCTAATGCTAATACTAATTTGCATTTTCAAAAATATTTAAGAACAAATTAATAATTTAAAGAAAATCATTACGTATTATTATCAGATCTATTATTGTTAAAAGTACCAGATTTTACTAGTTTTTAATATCAGTTTACAAAAACCAGTTATCACAAAAATCTAGTTTCATGAGCCCCATAATATAAGTATATTTAGACAATAATTTTAATTAAAAATTTGATTTGCATATCTAATTTTTGTTTAAAAACCTGTTCTTATATATGATAAAATAAATATTAAATAAGAAAAACCTGATTTAAAAATTTTAAATTTATTATTGTTGTCTAAGCCTCTAAAAATTAACACCGCATTACAAAAAATTCTGCTATATATTTTTATTACAATAATTTAAAGCTAGCTATATTAGAACCGATAGTCTTTTCAGTCCATCCTATAAAAAACCAGACTGGCCCGGTCCTAAGGCATATCGCAGAACTGGTAGTCTTAGTTGAACGATTAATAGCCCTAATTGTGATGGATATAATCCCTCACCAGTTTTAATATATATGTGACATTAATGGTCTCTACTGCCTATTCATTTGTAATCAATGTTAAAATAAATTAAAATATTTATTATTTTACATTTAGTAATATTAAACTATCTATGTGCCTTTCGTAACCTCATAGAAACCTAATAATATTTGGATGGTAATCGACTTTTTCTTGTAATTTTGACCAATCGAATTTCAGGATCAGGTGTAATGTAAAAATCTACTTTTTTACAAAAAACAAGAATAGCTCTAAATTTTAATTAAGAAACCGCCTAACTTTTTACTTAGAAAATAAAACATGTTTGCTTTGACACCTGATCTTAAATTTTAATTAGTCAAAATTGCTGAGAATGAACGATTTTTTGTGAAATGCTACCTAAAATATTAAGATGCCTCTTGGAAATAGCTTTTTCAAGCCATTCTTTTGAGGTTTTTTTTGCTATAACTTTTTGTATACAGAAAAGTATATACATGTCCTTTATTGTTTTGCTTACTGACTACATGATACTGCTACGTTATATTGTAACGTGGCATTGCATTAGTTCAAGATTACATATGACAATAAATTCTACTATATACCAATCTTATCTATCATTCTGTAAACTAAGCGAATAATTAATTACATAACGATTATGAGCATTCATAAAAATTTTGTGAAATTCAAGGCAGATGCTAATAAAATATTAGGTTAAAATATCAGATTATAAAATCATCATTAAATAATAAAAAAATGTGTAGTTATACAAGTTTTGCAAAAACTAATAAGGATTATAATTTACAAATAGGTAAGAAACAATAACATTAATGTTGTTATTAAATTTAAGACATTTCTAATGTATTTATAGTAGTAATCTGTTTTTTTATCCAAAATATCAAAACTAATAGTTGTGATCTAGACAATTGAAATAGTAACTATTTGTTGATTCTCAATAAGCCTACATTTTTTTCTTTTTTTTTTTTTTTGAAAAAAAATAACGTTTTTATTTCACTGAAAAAAGAAGGCTAGAATGTATATATGAAAAAAAATCGATTTTAAACTCTAAACCAAAAGCTCGAAATTGAATAAGTTTTGTAAATTAATATTGTTACTTAATCATAGAACATAACAGAAAAACATGACTATGAAATATACACTCACATAGCCCACAGTCAGTTCTATAGCACCGCTTCAATCCTATATTTCCTATTATTTTCTTTGGTATTCAACCTGTTCGGTCGAGCTACCAAGCTTATCTTCGATATTCAGGCTGCCAACCTGAGTTATCGAAATCCATATCTATAACCACTCCAATACACCATTTTCTTTTTCTTTCCTTAGAGCTTTTCCTTTTGTTCATAGTGCAGGTGGATGAGTATTAATGACAAAGCTAGACTTGCGTCAAGATGGCAGCAAAGCAAAGAAGGAAGAACAAATTTCTATTTTTCCTCTCTTAAATAGTCATTTACTATGACTTCATACTTACTATCACTCAATCTATCAATTCAACATTCATCAACTTGAAGAACAAGTTTGAAACTTAATTCTCTCAATAAATTAATTACATAAAACACAGCTAGATTCAACAAGTTTTAATTATATAAAAAAATATTAATGTGTGAAAATTGCATTAATGCGTCTTTGTTTAATAGATTGCAATAAAATCAAAAAAAATTACTATACTATTGTCTGCACTACTATGCTAATACTGTCTACGTATAATCCACTTTATTACTATCTATTTCTGAATAAAATAAAAATAGGTATTAGTCATATATCTATACAAAAATATATATTTTTATGAAATAGAGATTGGCAAGCTACTTTCTATTCTGACTATTACATAAATTGAAATTGTATCCTTGATAGCAATATATATAAAAACCAATAATTGCATCAAAAAGGTACCCTAACCTTGAACCTGACTTTATCATTTCCCTATTGCTATTAAATGTTACAGAATAAAGTCATGTTGTAAATATGTCTACGAAATTAATATCTGCCTTTAAGAAATTTTACTACAAGATTCTGGTCGAGGACTGGACGTATATAAACTTAATGAAATATTACTGTTCGAAGTTGAAACTAAAAGATAAAGTAAAGTTCTAGATTGCATAAAAAAAGATCTTGAAGAAATTGCAAACTCAAACTCTGATATGTTACAGAAAAAAAAGACACAAAATATTCTTGATGATTAGAAGGTAGATACATTACTAAGCTAAGTACTTGAATAGAAACCTAGTCTAACTATATTGAACTGCTTATCTAGGTCTAAAATAGAAATGAGTTAAGAACTTAGTCCAACAGTCATGAACTGCTAGTTTGACACTTAGTGCAAGCTGGGACTGCTAGTCTTCAGTAACAAATTGCTAGTTTGACACTTAGTGCAAGCTGGAACTGCTAGTCTAAAGAATAGTTTCTAGTTCAATACAGTGTATACTATATATGTTATATAGTTATTGGGATTGTTTTGTAAGCATAACTATTAATTAAGTACTGCATTTCGTTATCCAAGATTTGAACTGTACAACAAAATCTAAAACGTTCTAATGATACGACAATCAGGTATTTGCAAGTAGGTTTTTAATATTAAAAATTGCACGACCAAAATGTGTAACAGGTTGATAATAAAATTAAGAAAAAAGTTTTTTTTCTACTAAATTCACTTTTTAGCCCCTCTCAAGCTAAGGCCACTTGAAGTTTTAATTTTAAGTCACCTAACCTTAATATTAAATTCTAAATATAGACCAAGGTTAATCAATTAGTTGTAACCTTTGGTACATATTTCGGTCTTGTTTAAAATTACAAGACAAAAAACAAATACTGATTAATATTTTACAAACTTAGGTAAAGAAAATAAAACATCTGGCAACCAGAGGATTAACCCAAATATTTAACGACAGCAATATAACTTTTAAAATAAATCAAGGAAGTGAAGATACTTCAATTAAAAAAGGAGAACTTCCAACTAATATAATTAAGAACAAAATAAAAGTGTCAATACCTATTGATCAAGATGAAGAAGTGATGACAACTTCTAATTCAGATTATACAAATAACGATAAAGTAAGTACATCATATATTTTAATCACTTTGTTGTAATTATAGATCTATATAATTTTTTGTAATTTCTGATTTAGCAAAATAAAAAACCTACACAATTCACAAATGTAAATAACATTATTGATAATAATATAAGCGGAGATGAGTCAGAAATTCCTAATTTAACAGATTTTGATAAAGCATACCATAAATTAGATCTGCGAAAAATGTGGAAGCTTAAGAGTGGCACTGTCGTTGAAAAGATTATATATGAATATGCACAGAGCCTATCATATGAGTCATGCTTACATTCATTTATCATTAATAATACTGATGAAGAAGCGAAGTCTTTATTTAGTAAAAAAGATTGGGACGAAATTTTCTTATTTAAAATTAAAAAGATACCAAAGATTGATAAATCGATTATTAATCTTATGAAGAAGTATTCAGTAACTGACTTAACCACATTTCAAAAAATTATTTTTGAGCCCTTTTTGCCTACCGGCACTTCATACTCCAACAAGGAACACTTTGATTTAAACTACATTCACATCGCATATAAGATTATATACACATTCTGAGAAGATGATGACAATTTTGCTCTTGATCTATCAAAATTAGAAGGATGGTATCAGCTAAATATATGGGTCCACTTATTGATTCTGCGTTTCGTAATTCAAATATTAATCTAATACGAGTTGATGGAATGAGTAGAGCATCAAGCGATAGAAAGAATCAAGAAAATCATAAACCAAATTGCAAAAAGATCAGAAGGAAAAGAGATAGAATATTTAAATTAAAAAGAAGTAGGTTGGAATTTAGAGCGATCAAAGCAGGAAGAAAGTAGGAAGGTGAACATGAAAAAAAGTATATTCATGATAGCTTAAAGTTATACAAGATGCTTTATGATATGCTAATTCAACTTTCAAAAGAATGTGGCAATAATGAAAAAATTTTTAAGAAATTACAAACCGTCGGAATTCTAAACAGTGCAAATCGACTACAACTTCTAACTATAGATATTCCAATAGAATATATAAGCTGAATTTAGCATCATAAGTTTCGAGAGGTTACTGGTAGCTAAATAACCCACTATTAGGGTTTGTCTTAACAGATATATTAAGAGTGAAATTAATTATTACACAAATACTAGAATTAATCCAAGAAACCAAATCTAATATCAATGATCTCGATGATTTTGATAACAAAGATGAAGCATCAAAAGGGCATACAACTTTTTTCACAGTTTTTGTACCATCAAGTCATTTGAGTTTTTAAGGACTTATATAAACAGGAAATCAAAACATAGAGTAAAATGTTCTGTTGACAATTCAAGTTTAATTAGTATTGATTGAAATCGAACAAAAAATATAAGCACATTTAAATATCTTTCAATTCTTGATAATCTAATATCAAGATTATTCTTATTTGGCTTAATTTGCACATTGTCCTCCAATATCATTGGGAAGCTCTTGTTTTCGATTTATAAATTGGTTTGATAATATAGATTCATATGTGTCCAAGTTAATAATTGCAATAAAATTTCTTAATACAATCGATAATATATTATTCAATTCTCAATGCTATTAATAATTCAATATTAATTAAATTGTATGATAATAATTTGTGAAATTAAGATTGAAAACTATTTAATTAGTAATTATCAATATAAACCAATAGAGTACCAATAGTTACCAATTAGATACAATTTTAATTGAGATTTTGCTATTGTAATTAATATATAGTAAATAGGGTAGCTACATGATGTAGTCACGCTTAAATCAATAGCTTATAAATTTTTGCACAGGTTACCTTCTTGAGCATATTTTGTAACAATAATATAATCTTTAGATGTTTTATCTTTTGATATACTGAAACATTTTAGAAATGTTGAATCTTTAAGACTAATATTACAATATGTTTTTAACTTATTATCAAAAAATATATATATTTAAATTGTTAATATAAATGATAAATCGTGAATAATAATAAAAATATTTAATAGAAATTATCTCACTCATAAATTCTTCATGATAATTATTGAATTATGAAGCAACTTAAGAGCAACAATTCTGACTAAATCTTGACTTTTATCAATCTATTTAGCATAATATACAGTTGCAAATCCATCTTTGCCTATCACTTTAATATTTTTAAGTTCATAGTAAGGAATCTATGTTAATTTATTTTTTATCAATAATTTTTATAAATACTCCAATTTCTGAATTATGTATCTATTCATTTGTAACTATTAATTATTTATAAAATTTAGGCATTTTAAATTAATTACATGTATTAACAATATAGGTTATAATAATTATGATATACAATATTAGCATTAAGTCCTTTTTTCTAATTTAGCCAGAGATAAAATTCATATAACACAGATCATTCCTCTTTTTGATAAAAGATCTTTAATTGGAAAATTCTTATTTAATTCTATAGTACAAAGCCAGCATGGGGATATTCGAATCCAATGATTTTCAGGATCAACATTACACAAGTATTTATATAGAATAGTATGTAAAACTAGAATTTTCAGGTATAAGTGAACTAAAAAAAAATGTCTTGTCAAGAAACCAAGTTGCATCGTATTGTATTGCGTTGCATCGCGCTATAAAAAGGTAGATCTCTTAAGAGTTAAAATACTATCTACCGTATAGTAAAAAGTAAGAAAAGTATACAGTATTGTATTGCTTAATTCACAAAATTTAATATTGTTTTTTTTTAATTTTTTTTTCTTTATTATTTCAATTATTAACTTGTTAATTTTTATTTACAAACTTATGCAGACTCTTTTTTTAAAATTATACATGCTTTTAAAAGATATTTGATATAGTAGAATAATTTAATATGTACGATAGATAGTATAGTTTTATTAATTACACAAGATTTTAAGAAAAACTATTGAAGGATGTGTAACTTGTATTAAAAAATCTTTTAAATGAATTTTACAATTGTAAAATTGTTGTAATAATGTGGATGAATAGTCTGATTTCTTTACAATGCGAGTTATTTTACTTCAAAGCTAAATTATGAATAAAATCATATATACGAGTAATACCTGTTGATTGGCTGCCTTAGTTCAACGATTATCTATCTGTTTTTGATCATGTGTTGATAAAACGGTTAATTATCATATGATAAAGCTTGTGTTTTTCCCGAAAAGTGATAAAGTCTCCCATGCTTACAAAGCCTCAGGGATCCCTACAGTTTACGTACATACGTATATACATACCAATTCTTTTATTACAAGTGAAACATCTATAAATACACTTTATATACATGTATATCCTCTCTAATATATACTCAAATTCGGGCCCAAATAATATAACTTCAATAAATATCCTTTTTTTTGTAGCTTTCTAAGTATATGATGTTAAATTTGGTTCTAAGACCCGTGGGTCGATAGCGCAATAGTTAGTGCTCTCGGATCACAATCGCAAGATCACAAGTTTGAGTTCAACTGGGTGACGAATGGCTCTGCCAGGACCACGATTGGATAAGATCTTTGGAGAATTTTCTATTAATAGAGGTTTGCTAAAACCTTGTACCCATGTGACTTTTCTATATAGATCACCAATCAAAATCATGAGATTTTGTTTACACAGATCAGCCCGAAGAAATCAAAAACGAAAAATATGAAAAATGGCAGTCTAAACCTGTCTTGGTACATTAATAAAAAATGTCGGGAGGAGAATTTTATCTATATACTTGCTATTATTCTAACAATAAACTAACCCTAACCCTAATTAAAATTAAAACTTCAAAAGTAATGTGAGTACAAAGCAAGATTCATACAAGTTGCAGTCTGCTGGCATAGCCACAGGGCCAGAGAAAAAAGGCCAGGAATGACTAGATAAGGTGCAATCTGTAAACAAACGATGCTAACATTGAGAAACCTATTATTAGAATCAAGGATATCAAATATAAAAAGGACGATCTGGCTTGTGGGTTATATGAAGTTAGAGAACTGCGGATCTAGAGAACGTAGATCCTACACAAAGCCCCTAGCTGTCCCACAAAATTTTTTTCACCCCCTGTAATTTTGACCAATCGAATTTTAAGATCAGGTGTAATGTAATTAAAAATATTTCATTATATTTTTTTAACTATAATCCTAACTATAATACGGTTTTCTTAGATTTAATTTTACACGTGTTTTTTTACTTAGAAAACAACAAATTTGTTTTAACTATCACGTTACATTTGATCTTAAATTTTGATTGGCCAAAATTTCAGGGTGGAAAAATTTTTGTGGAACAGCTACCTAAAATGGGGAACGTCTAAAGTGGAGATAAATCACGTGAACTGCCGACAATCAAATTGTTAGGGTCACTTTAGGGATAATTAACCTATCCAAGGTAGGTTTAGGCTGTCGTTTTTTATTTTTCGAGGTTTTCACTTTTCTTTCTCGTTTGGCAATCATCAAAACTCTATAATTTGATTGGCAGTTGATCACGTGATTTATCTTCGCTTTAGACAACCCCCTAAAAATGGTGAGATAACTCATGCTCCGTTAAGTACGTTATATGACGTCCCGGGTCCCTGGAACCCCTGGTGGGATCTCACCAGTACAGTAACATCAGGGACACGGAAATATTTCGATAATTTTTTTGCAAATATTTCGATTATTTTGTCAAGATTTTTGATAAATTTCGATTATCTTTGCCAATATTTCGATAAATTTCGATTATATTTTATGAATTAGATGTAACGTGATATAATGTGATATTGTTTTGCATTCTGATTGGTCAATTTTAAAGATCTGCAAAAAAATTCACATTTATCACCAAAAATTTTCTGTGTCCCTGGGTGACATATAGAGGCCAAATCGCCAATACCAGTAATCTCCGCAGAAATGAAAACCCTGATCTTTGAGAGATGTGAGAGATCCGAAGGTGTCTAAGGACCTTCGAGATACGGAGGGAAGTAAAAAAAAAAAAAAAAAAAATTTGGTCTCAAGACCGTGCACTTGTAGGGATCATGCACTTGTAAAGGTTTTTACTGCACTTTATTTTTTTATAAATTGATTTCATATGATATAAGTCTGTAATTTGTTATGTTTTGTTAATTCATATTTTGTAAAAGTTTAATGCGTTCTATCTAAATCGCGTAAGAGAAATAAAAATACTCTTAGAGATATGTAAATCGGGAGTAAAACAGAAAACACAGTAAAGAATGTGGTTGAAAAGATAATAACTCTTGTAATTTAATGATTACTCTTAATTACCAATTATCATTAAACCAGAATCTTGTAATAAAACATTCCCCTAAATAACTTATATAATGTCCAAAGCTAAATCACGTTTTCTTATATGCTGCTCTTTCGACAGGTCGTTACAATATATGTATACTGTCACCATCGAATGGGAGAGCTTTCGTCAATCATGCCGAGTTTAACTCGATAGTTGATGTAAGAGAGATGCAGTGCATGATGACAAATTAGGGAATTCAGATTTTAAATGATTAGTAGACAGTTATTATATAAAAGAATGTAGGTTTATGTATTCTTTATTTTAGAACATTTTCAGAGAGTATCATTCCATAATGAACTAAGGGCAAGAGCAATCTTTTAAATATATTCTCATTTCTTATGAGGTCTACGTTAATATTACAGTATTATACATCTATGAATCACACATGCTTTCCCACAGGCAACCGTGCTATCAAATTTATGCGAGAGCATATATGCTCCAGTAGCTACGTCTACGCTCCCAGGGGATTCACATGGATTGAGCTGCTATTAATACATAAGAATGCCTAAATAATAGTTATATCCTGGGCAGTTGGGTATAAGCGGGGATGAAATTCCTGCTTATACACATAGTGCCCAGGGTATAACTG